ACTAATGACCTTTTTAGCCAAACGTGTAATGCAGTTTACGCTTGTGGAAAATGTGCTAATTATAAGGTAAACAGAACCAAAAAGTAATCTTCTGTCATCAATAAAAACCCATGTTGAAGCTAGTCACTTGTCATTACGTTGCCCTCTTTGTTTTAGTCTTTTTATGATGACATCACATTTACCTACATCAGTCTCCATTGACCCATCATTGTAAAAAGTGTTGAGATGTTTTGTTACATAACTTAAGATGTGTTAAAGATAAAAGCATGAACTTGCCAGCATTTTATGTGGAATTTGGTGTTTTCCATGCCTACTGAAAGAAAACTTAATGAAATTATATTTAGATATTATTTTTTATTTTTTCTTCCCTGTCCCTTAGCACCCCACATCCACCTCAAAATATGCATGTATCCGGAAAAGAGGAAGAGGATGATGAATGAATGGGTGGATTTGCACAAGTTTTTCAGGAAACATGTGCAATGCATGTGACAATACAGCTATGCATTCATTTTCCCTGTACACCCACTAGTTTATGTGGTACACACAGAGTTTTGGAGATGTTTCAATTTTGTGAAAATGTAGCATGATTTTCAAATCCATTTTTGAACCAAATCACTTTCATGAAAAACCATACCATTTTGTCCTATGGTCAAGAGCAAAACAGTGTCAACTACCACACTGAAGTTTTTATTGAACCTTCTCAAATTAGGAAGTTAAAGGGACCCTCCCACCTTCAAAAAAGTTAATGAATTGGCACGAAAGTGATGTCGCTCGGTTCAGAAAGAGCGAAAACGAATATCTACCAAATTTCATCGAAAAATATTCACCGGTTTTCAAGATATTAGACTTTTACTTTTGTTTACTTTTTGGGATCTCCGCTGTTCCTAGCGACTTTCTTTGAAAGTGCGGCATTTGTTGCGCGCAAAGCAGCATATACCACCGCGTGCTACCAAACGTTTTAGTAAAAGATTTAAAAATCGTTAGATCTCCGCTGACGTCACAAATTCTAAGGGGGCATACCAATGCACTAGCCCCTTAGAATCCGAAAACTGCAAGTTTGAAATTCCATATCTCCGAATTAAAACATTTGTCGATGTTGTGAGTGCCCAAACCGGTATTTGCAGGCCAGGGTTGGCAAGGGGTGGCAAAAACTGGTTTTTGCCAGTGGTTTTTACCGGTTTAAACCGGCTGGCAGAAACCCTGGTGGCAAAAACTGGCAAAAACTGGCAAAAACTCAGGTAGTCAAGGCTTGCAACTTTTCTGGTAAGCAATTGATTTGAAATGAACAAATGCATTTCGGGATGTTTAAGAGACGCGCTAAGTTTCTGAAGTTTGCCCCATTAGCTACCCGGGCTGCAATGTCTATGCATGTCGGTAGACATCCGTCAGACAGACAATGCATTTCCGAAGAATCTTGGCATTTCCATGCATCACGGTTAGGGTGCTACCTATTGCAGGTGCACACGTGCAGGGGTCGCTTTCGACCAGATCTCGAGAATGGCTCTGCCGATTGCGCTCAAATTTGGAACACCGTTACAGACGGATTAGTATGGGTGTCGCAGATAAGTCAGTCGGGATCAACTTTCTACGAGCGCACGTGTGGGACGACACTTCAAGTTCTCGAGAACGGCTGCGTCGATTGAGCTCAAATTTTGTACTGATACTGTTAGGAACCAGTGAGTATGGGTGCCGTCACGTGCACAAATGAATGGCAGGCACCCCTTCGCACTTCAGCATGTGCAGCAATCACTCTTGCACTGGCTCATTTGTCGCCCCAAAAAGACGTACTGGTTAGGTACTAATGGAAAGCGGGAAGCCCATGGAAATGTTTTAATTGTATGAAACACTGGTCGAATGGTCAATAGGTTACTTCTTTTTGAAAGCATACAACTTTCACTGAATCCCCCTTAGAATGTTTCCAATTCAAATGCATGTCTAGGGAAATCATTGTAATGGTTTTGAGTTTTTGCCAGTTTTTGCCACTTTTTGCCGGTTAAAACCGGTTTAAACCGGCAAATGGCATAAACTAGTTTTTGCCGGCAAAAATGCCAACCCTGTTGCAGGCCATGGCCACCAATTTGGCTATCTCAACTCAAAACTAATGTTAAGGTGGGAGTATCCCTTTAATATGACTCAAAGTTTTTCCCATGCAACTGTCCCTTAACACCCCACTGTCCCTTAACACCCCATTTTACGGTAATGCATTATTTTATTTCATTGACCACCTTGCAAAAGATAAACAGCAAACACATCACCACCAAAAACAAAAATAGTCAACAGGTAGGTACCAGCTGATCTAGGCCGTGCTGTGTCATGTGCCTTTGAAAAACTTGAGCAGTCAGGGTTGAATAAACACCCCAAACTTAGCCATTCATGCATGAACAAGTGCAAATTCTGGTCGAGCATTTTAATAAAAATGAAACTAACAGCATTGTAGGTTACAATTATAAAAAGACAATTACAAAAAAGAAACAGCAGAGCTTACTCTACAAGGCATAACCATTAATTTTATAACTGACATCCAAATTCGCATCTCCGAAGTTTAACCCACCTACCAGCCACCTGCACATTTCTGCGCACATGTGCTGCGCAGTGTGCACAGTCACTACACATTACACAATTATGAGAATTAAAATAGTTTTAAACAATCAAGCAAGTCAGGACTGGTATGCAGATTCACAAGTTCTCTCAACATCTTCAATTACCAACAATCAAGAGCACCTTGTGATCTCAGTAACTCCGCAGATCCATCTTCTGTTTTCCATTTTCAGTTTTCAATTGAAATATAAGTTCCAGCTGGGAGACACATGTTGCATCATTATGTTTAAACAATTATTATGCTTGAACTTTTGATTTTTCATGTGAACTTCACTTCAAAAGTTGATTCAATTTTTAAAGTTGATATAATTTTATAATGCTACGATCACGGCGCACCAAATCACAGATAACTTGAAAATAACCAAGCAAAAGCCACATTCTTCAGCAAACTATGAGAGCTATCTGATCCATGCTGCGTTGAAATAATTGAAAATCGCAAAAATCAGTCAAAATATGACAATTAAATTAATATAAACTTCACAAAACTCTGATTTGTGAGGCAATGCGCAACAGAAATGCGAAGGAATATGGTAGGAATCTGGTAGCAATTATGAAGGATTTCCCCTGTCGCTGATGAAAAAACACTTGAAACAAATTTTTCAACGCAGAGGAAATCCTTCATTATGGGTTGCAGGGACCATTTGATTGGCCCATTTTAGATAAATATAGACCGAATGTTTCGATTTCAACCCCATTTATCGTAATGAGACGAATCCATTGGCTTAGTGGTACGTCTTTTGAACACATGTAGGCCTTAGATTTCTCCTTAGCCCGCCTGAAACACACCATGCTTTGCATGCATTTCTATGGGTGAAGGAAAATTCATGCGCCGTGATGACGTCACGGTAAAGGAATTCTGAAGCTCGTGAACGGGGGCTGGGGGGATGTGTCCCTCCCCGCCCCCCCGTGGCAGAGCCCTTGTTCCTGGAGAAATACAATGTCTGAGTCATCACATAACCGGTTAAACCTCGCCCTGGCAGGGGGGTTGATGCCCCCCCTCCCTAAGGGGTTTCAAAGATAGCGTAAAAACGGCGGTGCGCAGCGCCGCCAAATTTGGCACAGCCTATGGGGCAACCTTTTTACATATGACCTGAAAACTTCAGGTCTGGATGACCTTGGGCCTGGTCACCAGATCAGAAACCGGTACAAGGTCATGGTCAAATTTCAATTTTCTTTATGAAACTGTCCAACTCCCAGTTTTGGACTGACTTCCTTCAAACTTGCAGGATGTGCTAAGCTCACCGAGTTGTATAACATAAAGTTCGTTTTTTTTATGTCACTCATCTGAGGTCAGTTAGAGGTCATTACGTCGTAATGTTGAGACTATGGGAAAATATTCAATTAGGAAAATACTGGAGATATCCGCTTAGTTTTATCACTTTTGTGCTTTGAAACCACAGTACTTAACAGTATGTCACTTGATGCTTCTTTGTTTGGTGTACTTATCCATGGGTCAGGTCAAATGAGGTCAACTATTTATGCTTGTAAACGCGAGTAAAACTAAGATTCTTTTATGCGGGGATAGGCGCCAGCTCAGAGCAATTAGCGTGATTCCCACAATTCGTTTCATGAACCAGGAGCTTCAATGTTCATCCAGCGTTAAGAACCTCGGCGTAATCATGGATCAGACTCTGTCCTGGGAGCTGCATGTGACTCGTGTTACCAGCCGATGCATAGGTATACTCATTGCTCTTTCACATGTTAAACATATCTTACCGCCTGATGTCCTACCTCGCCTGATCGACGCGCTCGTGTTTTCACATATCCGCTATTGTGTACAAGTTTATGGCAGTGCTAACCTGACTGTGATTGCGAAAGTACAAAAAGTGTTTAATCTCGCCGCTAGAGTGCTGTCAGGCCGCCGCAAATACGATCACATATCTGATGTACTTCGCGATTTGGAATGGCTAGATGCTCAACAGTTTGTGAAATTCTCTGACATATGTTTGCTTCATAAGATTTTTACGAGCGGTGAACCATATGCAATTCGATCTATTCTTTCATACAATCATGAAACCATCCATCGTACAACTCGACAGTCAGATCACTTGAACCCAGGACGTGCTCATAACAACCATGGAAAGAGACTTTTTACATATCGTGCCGCTAGCCTTTACAACCAATTCGTTATCAGTGAAAACATCGATGTCACTTCAATACGCATGCTTAAAGGGACTTTACCACATGCCGAGATATCCCTTTAACATTAGCACGTGCATTTGGGAAATGGCTTCGGCCCGCCTCGGCTAATGTTGAAGGTATTTGGGAAACGATTCGGCCCTAGGGCTTTTTGATTTTCCCAGACAAAATTTTACTGAATATTCTGAGCGGAAGAACCAATTTCAAAGAAGATATTTACGGATTGTGTATTCACTAACAGCAACAGCAAAAGTAAGTGACTGCGTGTTTACTTACTTTTGCTGTCAACGTAATTCAACTAAACAAGGTTATCGTTCCAATGCCAATGTATTTATTGCTGCAGAACATGGTCGGAAATCGGAATAATAATTATCTCTACATAATGCACGCAAAAAAACGATCAATTTAAATGCGTGAAGCATCTTAACGTGCCACAATGAAACATTTGATATTGTTCCAGCTGGGATCCAAGACGCGTTTGATTCAGCGTTTCACCCAATTTTCAGTTTTCCTCACGGTTTCCTCACTCCTACTGGACTCCATATCTTTATTCTAACTTCTGGTTCTGGCGCTCCACCATCTTCATCCTCAGCTTTTTCAAACCCTAAATAAGGGGGAAGTAGGAATTTCATCTTTCATACTCAACGCAGCCCAATAATGAAAAACACAAAAAATAATCACAGTGACTATAAATATGAACATAGTACTAATATAATATTAACACAATATTAAGATTAAAGTGTAAAATATCAAATGAATATGATAGTAAGTGTTGCGCCGGTACGGCATGTGGTAAATCTCTTCCCAACCTTGGGCTGTGAAAATGTAGTTTTATTCACCTCGGTTTTTTGCTACGGACCTCGTGCCTACCGGCACTCGGTCCTCCGCACAAAAACCTCGGTGAATAAAACGCATTTTCCCAGCCCCGGTCGGGAATATATAGTCCCACCTTTGCATTAGTTCTGAGTTGAGATAGCCAAGTTGGCGGCCAGGTTTAGAAACCACTATATATCCTGGTCGCAATATCCTCAGTTTCGTGGTGTTGAAGAAATTCGTTCCCTTCATTTGAAAAGTGGGCCTTAGCTAAGGCCCTATCTCGTTCTATTAGCGGCCATTTGATGACGTCATTACTCATTTGCCTTTTGAACGCATGTCACACATTCAAGTGAAGTATCACTTGATTTACGAATAAGCCAATCAGAGACACTCTGGTTATTGTATGAGCCGCGTCATATTTGAGAGCAAATATATTTGCTGCCAAATTTCCCCTCACATTGACATGAAGTAAATCCTTCATTACGTCACAGATTCGATATAAATGACGTCACAATGAAATATGAAAGTCGCAATATCTCAAAAAGTATACGATGAAAACGCGTAAAAACTTGCAGAATTCGTCAAAATATCATGAGTAACATTTCCGAATCCTGAACGGTACTTTTTTGAAGGTGGGATAGTCCCTTTAAACGCCAGGTTCGTGCCGCGATTTACCGTGTGTAATTATTAGGGGAGAGTGGGGAAAGATGCCCAGGGTTTTACTATGTCATAGGGGAGAGTGGGGCACATTCGTGCAAAAAATGGATAAACCCATATATCTGTTCTTTGGTTAGTGCAATGGCAAAATTGTTGATTGTAGTATGGAAAGGAACTATTGCAGATAGTTTTCCTCTTTAAAAGTTATCCTATAAAATTATTGCTTCCATTAGAAAAAAATGACTTTTATTAACTCTGAACATTTGCACGAAACTGCCCCACCTATGGGGCACATTCGTTCAAGAGATGGGGCACTTCCGTTCACCCGGCAAAATTCGAGAAATTACCGGGCATTACCAGAAATTTACCAAAGGAAATTGGCAGGGGGTCATTTCACTTAATTCCTTTCGACAAGAATGCATTGCACAACAAATGTAGAAAGAATGGGCTGGCCAACAAGAATGTGCCAACTGCCGGCCTCCGTGACCTCGCCAAGTTCGCGTGAATTGCTCGTCACGACGTCGCAAGCAGTCGAGACTGAGTCAGGCGAGTGTCATTAGAGAAACCTACTACAGATAAAGTCATAAATCGCAAAAACTAAAAAAAAAAATATGCACGAATGTGCCCCCAGGCAGTGCGTACACGAACCTGCCCCACAACGTTATTAGTAATATATTTCAAAATTTCTTTTTGAAAAAATGACACTTTTTCAACAAACAAGTTTGCAGCAGTTCCGTGAATAGAGTGGGCTTCTTCACCCCCAATTTTGAAAAGCTGAACCACATTTCCGAGTCAGGATCACGAAAATGGATGATATGAGAAAAGTTTGGAAAGCTCACGAATATTACAAATTTGCGTTTTTATCAAGCATGACAGCAGGTACAGTGATGTCTTCTTCGGTGAACGAAGGGCGGCAATGATAGACATATTTCCATAATTTACCTTGAGCTCGTGCAGTCACTCGTGTTCCCATAAACTGCTGAAAACGAATGTGCCCCATGCACGAATGTGCCCCACTCTCCCCTATATTGTTCGAAAATGACGATCGGAAATCAAAAACTTGGAGTTTCAACTAGAGGTGTCAATTTCAGAAATTTCTTGTCCGATGTCCGTCCAATGTCCAAAATCCTAGCTAACTTTTGTCCGAAAAATGTCCAAGGCATGGATTTGTCCGAAAACTGTCCGAAAGCTGGATATGGAAAGAGGATGGGGAATTGATCTATATTAGGTATATGTTATTATGTACCACATGATAACTAAATAACGGATATCCGCCCTCTGGTTTTGAGTGCAAAATATTGGCAACTAAAAATGTTGAAGCAATATCATATGCAGTAGGGAATGGGCATTTGGGCAAAAGGCCTAATCTGATATACAACACAAATACAGCATATTGAGACAAGCCTATTCTTCTTTAAAATGTGCTACAGCCTACAACTGAAGCTGAGTAGGCAGGAATAATACAAAACATTGCCTTATCCCTCAAACTTGTGTTCTCAAATATTGACTTCTTGCCGCATCCCCTTTTTCACACTAAGCCACTTGATGATGAAATAATACAGCAATAATGCAAGAAGCTAGTCACTTACAATAATGCATATCTTCATCTTACATCACACTGGCTGACATGTAAAGAAGAACACTTTTTGCAAAAGCAAAATAGTTCAAGTTCATGTAAGAAGAAACATGTGAGATAGGTAGGCACCATCTGGAAGAAACGTGCTCTTCAGTGAGCCACACATCTCTGAATATCGAAACAAAATAAGCGATCTCAAAAACGAAAATACTTGCTATGATTTAACACAAATTCACTGAAATTCACAAGCAAAAATTTGTAATCCTCGGTAGAAAGGAAAACACATTTCATGCTACCATTCTCGGTAGAATGGAACATGGTATCCGGCTTTGAGTCGATGATGTGAAAGTAAATCAATAATATGACGTCATTATCAAATAATTTGTCCTATTGAAGTGCATTTACCATTAGTTGTTTAATATAAATTCAATATGCATTGAAAAATATCATAATTTTTCGAAAATTATTCAATTGTTAAGCAAACTGACTGTATTTATTATTTTAGACGTCATTTTGTGTCTCCTCTGATTCTCATCCGGGGGCCATCTTTCCTTAGGTGACATTTATGACGCTTTCGCCGCATTTCATCATCTTTTGGTAATCAGTTTATTTGGATAGGCTATCGGCATTATGTAGCATTTATTGTATTCGATATTTCGGCACGGATATTTTTTGGGGGGAAGGGGTGGAAGGGGATGATTTTATGATAAGAGGTTCTAGGTAAGACTCTTGTGCTACTTGGCACACCTTAATATTTGCAATTTTTTTCAGCCTCTTCTGTTAAAGGGACAGTATCACCATTTTGATGAAATTTGACATTGCATAGGCCCCACCTTTCTGGTCCGGGAACTGAAGACCGATCCTCGAAGCTCCACACCGTTATCCCGCTATCGCCGCTCAAAGTACGAAAGGTGTACTACACTTTGAATCGTGCTTCACTATCTTCACTGTTTAAATGTTTGCGCCGTTTTGAATTGACCGCCAGTAATAAAACTTTTACCCTGGTCATTTCATCAAATTTTATAAAGCCAAAACGTTTTTCGCACTTATTCATCACCGTTAAATTCATTAAATAGTCGTAGGCAATTTCCGCTGTTTCCTTCGGATTCTAGCGGCTCAACAAAGGAATTCCTCCAGCCTGAATCACAATCTCCCTCCAATGTATGACGTATATGTATGACGTCATCTGATCTGCTAAAGTACTTCACATTTGCTTCAAGTACGAGAATATTGTCACGTGATATCTTCTGGGCAATGCCTAATGCTGCCTTTCCCTAACGACAACTCAATCAGAAGAGCGGCCGCGTAAGCGTAGCGTCAATAATGTATTATCTGCGCCAGTTCTGTAGTAATTTCGCAGGCTTCCAAAGTGGCGGCCATGCTTGTAGTGGTGGTTCGCTCATGAAAATGACTCGCTCATGAAAAAAAATATTTTTCACCGAGTTCGGTCCTCAAACTATGTTTTTCTGATTCAGAAAAATAAGAAATGCTAGTAAGAAAAAAAATCAGCTCCATACATTGATTTTTTTCGATGATACTGTCCCTTTAACTTTCAAGTGAGGCAAATCTATTTTTGGATTTCCTTCTTAACTGCTTTGGTGTCTAGTGCTTCCCATCGGTCAATGATTGTACATCATATTCATAACTGTGTTATCTTATGATGGGCTTACTGACAACAATGTCACCTATTGGCTATTGCCATTCGTAAACACATTTTCAAATTTAGAGTTAAAAGTTGGCAAAGTATAGGTAGGTATATATTTGACTCAGAACTACCTGCTACATGCAATTATGTTTATGTTCATCTTGCACTATAATTATTATTGTATTGTATTGTATTGTATTGACAATTAAAACACTCTCCATATTAAAATGGCTATTCTGAGTGTCGCGTCTGAGTTAAAAGGGGAAAACGAGTTAAAATGCACCCAAATCACAGCACTCAGCAAACATATCGAACCATTCACTCATCCCTAAATACGTAAAAACAACTCGGAAACAGAGCGTTTAAAACTTCCCATAGAGAGGCTCCTAAAATCATGGGGCAGGCGATTGTATAACTGGGCGATGCTGTAGAGCAGACGGCGCCTCCCTGCTTCGGTCCTCAAGCGTGGGAGAGCCAGATCAGTGTCCCGCCTTGTCGAGCGTGAGCGCAGGGAAGAGTTGGTCAGGATTTCAGAGGTTATAGTCTCCGGCTCCCCAGTGCAGCGTATTTTGTGAAGGAAATTGAGTGAGTGGATTTCGAACAGCTGACGGGCGGTGGGCCAACCCAGTTCCTCTCGCACGTCCGATATGTGGTCAAATTTTCTTCGGCCAGACACAACGCGCAGCGCAAAATTGATGACTTTTTGGAGACGTTGTATGTTTTTGTCCGAGCCGTTTCCGTAGACCGAGAGACAATAACGGACGTGCGAGAGGACCAAGGCGCTGACCACAGTAGGCAGGAGTTCACTAGGGATGTGGTGACGCACGTGGGACAGCCCGATGAGAATACCGTTGCATTTTTGGACGAGGGCCGATACGTGAGAGTCCCAGGTGAGGTGCTTGTCAAAAATCACGCCAAGGTTCCTCACCGTAGGGCCCTCACGGATCGTGTCCTCACGGAACCGAATCGAGATGGGATCCAAGCCACGGCAATTTTGACGAGAGCCAAACATGATTAGTTCAGTTTTGTTAGTGTTAACTTTCAAACCGTTGGTGTGAAACCAGGCGTCAAATGAGTCCAAAATTTGTTCCAAAGTTGCAATGAGATGAGGGAGGGAGTCTTTTTTGCCAGATAGTAAGATTTGAGTATCGTCAGCGTACTGCACCACGTGCGCCCCAGGGGCGTAGAGGGGGAGGTCATTGGCAAATATTTGGAACAGGAGCGGACCGAGCGAGGATCCTTGGAACACGCCGATAGGATTGGGTAGAGGATCGGAGAGGACTCGATTTCCTCGCCCGTCAGCTGTGCAAACAGATTGGGTATGGCCACGGAGGTAAGAAGAAAACCAGGTCGGATCGATAGAATAGGTTTGAAGTTTGGACAGAAGCTTTGCGTGGTCGATCACGTCAAAGCATTTGGAGAGATCGAGGAGACAGAGGAGAGTGAGTTCCTGTCGGTCGGTGGCAGAGAGGATGTGATCGGATACGGTGGCGAGCGCGGTTTCTGTGGAGAGACAAGAGCGGAAACCGTGCTGGGATGAGGAAAACAGATGGTTGCCAGACATGTAGGTGTACAGCTGCTGCTGAGCAACTTTTTCTACAAGTTTGGCAAAGGCAGGAACAATGGAGATAGGTCGATAGTTGGATGGATCAGTAGGATTACCGGCTTTGTGGATGGGGTAGACGATGGAGTGCTTCCAGGATGCGGGAAATTCACAAGTTGTGAGACAGGTGTTGACGAAGTAAAGGAGGATGTGACTGATGGAATCGAAACAGAGGCGAAGGATCCGGATGCTGACACCGTCGGAGCCGGAGGAGGAGGAGTTTTTCATGGAAAAAAAGGATGTATCGGAGGGACTGAAGGGAAATAGGTTTTAAGGAAAAGGCACAGGCACCTACCCTAGGTAGCCTGCAGGGAAGGGGGATAGGCTCCCCCCTGTCCCGGACCTCAGCCGCGACGCGAGGGCCGACCCCCACAAAAAAAGCTGTTAAGTTCGTTGGGGGTGGCCTCAGGCACGATACGCTGAGTGGACCTCTTGCCCTCGATCACCTGCCGAAGGTTACGGAAAGTGGAGGCCGGACCCTGCCTCCTCACCCGGCTGGCAATGTCGTTTTTAACGTCACGACGTATAGCAGATTTTACTTGTTTGTCCAGGGTGAGGAAGGCAGGAGTCCGGCCCTCTCGGGCAAGAAGTCCACGGCGCCGTGCCATGAGTCGCAGGGTGGTGTCCGAGACAAGGGGTGCAGAGGGGTTGCGGATTTTGAGACATCGTAAAGGAGCATGAAAGTCAAGGATAGGTAGGAGTAGCTCAGTAAAGGCGGCCCACTGATCCGTCAAACCCACACGAGAGAAAACCGGGCTCCAGTCGGTGTGACAAAGCGAACGGTGAATCCCACATACATATTAATGATGTATGAACCACATATCCCCTGCCAATTTCGAAGACATGTTTTGCAATTTGCATTTTGATAATGGAAATAAGTTTGAACTTTAACTTATTTAAGAAATTTGTTATTTTCAACTAGTTTTCCGAATATGTCTGAAGTGTTTGTCACTTGTCCGTCCGATTTCCGAATCGAAATTCGGAAATTTTCGGAATTCCAAAATTTTCGGTTCCGATTGACACCTCTAGTTTCAACGGAAGCCGACATCATTTTTCTCCAAAAATATCACACTTTCGTGCCTGAAATATGATTACTTTTTTTGCTATTAAGCATTTTCCTGAAGAAGTGAAAGGGGGCATCTTACCCCACAGGGTGGGAAAGACGCCCCCTGGCGTTGGGGAAGATGCCCCCTGCACTATAAGTGACATAAATGGGCACGTGAATCGCCTGAACGAATCAGTAGTCCCTTCGAGCCTGCAGTAGACACCAAACGTCATCGTAAGGGCCCTCAAAAGTATTAATATGTGTGTGTTAATATGTGGGAGCCCTCAAAGG